CCTAAAACCTGACTTCTTACCCAATCCAAAAAATATGGAAGTGGGTAAGGCACGCTCTGTCTATTCCAAAAATGAAGTCATTTATCTGGTCCACGGTCCTGGAAAATCTTCCTAAAATAGATAATCTTAACTAGAGAGATATGAATGTTCCTCAAGACCGTCCATTTTACCAAAAATCCACTGAAACGATGAGCCATTTTCCCTTTTCAAGAAAGAAGCCCCACTCACAAAGGGGTATCCTCTTATAAGGAAACAAACGAAAGAATCACCATTTTCTGACAAATCCAATTCGATGGCTGTAATCCACTTTGTCTATTTTCCTTTCCGTTTTTTTTTTCTAGGATTAGAAAGAACTACCTATCTTATGAGGTCTCTCACCGGTACCCTCTAAACAATGTCTTTGATATTATAAATCTTTTATGGATGATCATTCTCACTTGACTTGGATTTATCCATTGAAAACTAAATTTGAATCAATGCCTAAATTCTCACAATTCCACACATGATTGAAAGATACTTCAATACTAAGCTCAAAATATTACATTCTGATGGAGTGGAGAATATGTTAACCTGCAACTAACAGATTACTTAATGAAGGTATTAAACACTGACACAGTTGTCCTTATACGCCTGAACAAACTGGTGTTGCAGAACGACAGCACATGCATCTTCTTGAAACTACTAGAGCTTTCATGTTTGAAGCCAATATTCCCTCAAATCTGTGGGTGAGCACTATCCTTACAACTAAATATCTTATTAATCGATTACCCTACGCCCACCAAATAGAGAAATGCAATTTCAGCAGAATTCAATGCTCTTATGGAACAAGGGATCTGGATACTGGTTCCACCAAATTCATCTCAGAATTTGCTAAGAAGTAAATGGATTTATAAAACAAAACTCCATCCCGATGGCTCCATAGGCAAGCTTAGTTACGCAAGGTTACACATAAGAAAATGGCTTGGATTATCAAAAAGAACTTTTAAGTTCTGTAGCAAAAATTCCGACCATCTGAGTGTTTCTCGCCATCTCACCGAATGCATTTCTTCATGGAGAATTGACATAAACAGTGCATGTGGCGCAGCCTCTTTGCTTTAAAGTTTATCAACATCCTGATCATATGTCAATTAAAGAAAGCCATATATGGTCTTAAGCAAGCTGCGTGGCAATGGCTTGGCACTCTCAGTGATCATCTACAATAATTACGCTTTCATAGCAGTGCAGCAGATCCCTCTCTATACTTACATCACAACAAGACCACCATATGTATGTGCTCATTTATGTTAATGATATCCCTCTTACAGGAAATAAATTCACTGTCATCTCCAATCTTATTCAACAACTGACACTAAAATTTCTTATTTGTAACATGAACCCCTTCCATCTCACTTTCTTGGCATTCAGTCCATATAATATTCGCTTCTCAGCCCTTTCCCAGCCAAATCAGCTATTACAGATAATCAATCCTACATAACCATATAATAAACTTGTAATGTCCCTTTTTTTTTTCTACCCGTGGAAGATGAGTCGAAGAGCCAAAGAGAGGGAGAGAAAACGAAGAGCCGGAAGAGGAAGTCAAGAGTTTAACATGGGGAGTTGAAGTGAGGAGTCGGAAAGCGAACAAAAGGGAGATGAAGCGTCAGGAAGCCAAGGGGGTGAAATTTCGCTCTATAAATTATCGAGAAATTTACCTGGTTGGCCGAGTGACTTGTCATTGGTGAAGGAAGCAAGAGGGAAGAGCTTCGTGCGACGAGTCTTGTGTGCTGAAGAGGAAGAAGGCGCCGGCATCGTCGAGGTTTTGTGACACTGTGTCGAGCCGTGATCGAAGAAGGAAGTCTGTGGAAGGCATTTTACTGTGTGCGGGAAGCTGATCGTGTGAAGGAAGAAGACGATTTGGAGAGCTCGTGCCGGAGAGGTTCCTTTGCGCGCCGTGACTGCTCCATCCCGGGCTACCAAGCCGGAAGGGAGAACGGGAGGAGTGTGACCGAACCTTGAGGTAATAAGACTCATTTATGATATTATAAATTATAAATTATTATTTATTAATTATAAAATTTAATTAAATTAGGTTTTAAGTTAAAAGACTTGTGATGGTAAGAATGATTCGGGTTTGATTCATTTTTAATTATTTATTTAATAATAAATTGTTACATAATGTACATATATGTATATGTATAAGCTTAATAGAAAAGATAAGTTTTCTAAATAATTAGATGAACTAATTTTATTGTTAATTTTTTTAAGCTTAAATTGTTTAAAAAAATATTTAAAGGGATGTTTGTTTAGCAGGTTTGATGGTGTACTGTAAACTATTACGTGAATTTAAAAAAAAATTATTTAATAAATTTGTTAGGATTATGAAATCTAATCGGTACATTCAATGTCAAACTGATCATATATTGCTCATAGCATATACACAAGGAGGTAAGAAAATTATAATCATTGTATATGTAGATGATATGATCTTGATTGGTGTTGATGAAAAAGCGATTAGAGAAATTAAGAAAGCTTTTGCTATTGAATTTGAAATTAAGGATCTACAAGTTATGAGATAATTTCTTGGCATGGAAGTGGACAGATCTATGAAGGGAATCGTGATATCCCAAAGAATGTACATCCTAAACATACTAAAAGAGGCATGAAGGTTTGGATGGAAACTTGTTAAGACTCCTATGAAGTTCAATAAAAGATTACATTTTAGGGGAGAAAAAATATCGGTGAAAAAAAGTAGATACCAGAGATTTGTGAGAAATCCTATTTACCAGTCACATAGTAGACCTAATATTGCTTATTTTGTAAGCATTGTGAGTCAACATATGAATGCATCCAAATGAAGAACTTTTTAAGATAATTTATAAAATATTGAGGTTTCGTAAAATGATCCTTGACATGGGGTTATTATTTAAGAAATCAGACAAGATGGAGGTAGAAGTTTACACTGTTGCTAGTTAGGCATGAGAACTCATGGACAGGAGATCCACATTTAGGTATTATACATATATATGAGGAAATTTTATCACTTGGAAGAGCAAGAAATGAGCAACGATCTCTAGAAGTAGCGAAGAATCTGAGTATCGAGTAATTGTTTTGGGAATTTATGAAGGAATGTTGATCCAAGGTTACTAAATGAGTTAGGATGCTCAATGTCAATCATAAAGTTGTTTATGATGGCCAAACCACCTTTAGTATTGCAAAGAACCCAATGCATCAAGGCAAAACCAAATACATTGAGATTGATAGAAATTTCATCACTGAAAAGGTCAACTATGGCATTATACACTTAATTTATGTTCCAATTCATTTTCAAATCGTTGGTGTTTTCACTAAATCCTTTCCTCCAAGCATCTTCACTGATTTGAATATCAATCTAGGTCTTTACAAAATCTATGACCTTGCTTTCGGGGGAGTGTGGATTTCCATCCCTGTTTAGTGGCCTAAACCTTCAACCATATGAGCCTCACAGGTTCAATTTGTGGGAGCTATTGTAGGGAATATCCATTTTCTAAGACATGATACGAAGATTTTTCATAATTAGCTTAGATTTATGTTGGGCAAGGCGCCTATGGAAGCTATACATTTATTGAGAGGTTTGATGGCGAAGTATAGAGAGAGTAAGGCGGACCTACATATGATTTTTATTGATTTAGAAAAAAACTTACGATAAGATTCCAAGAAGTTCTTTGGAGGGTTCTAGAAAAGAAAGGTGTTGATATGACTATATTCAAGTCATTATAGATATGTATGCTAGAGCTATTACATGTGTTCGAACAGAAGGGGGATTGACTAAGTATTTTCCTATCTCAGTTGGATTACATCAGGATCCCATATCTTTTTGCTTTAGTTATAGATGCTCTTATTGGACATTTATAGGATGATGTACCTTGGTGTATGCTTTTCGTTGATGATATCCTTCTTTTGGATAAGACTAGAGAAAGGGTTAAAAAAAACTTGAATTATGGAGGTCTACCTTAGAGTCTAAAGGCCTTCATTTAAGTAGATCTAAAATTGACTACATGGAATGTAATTTTAGTAGTTGTAGATCTAGTGGTAGAATTGTAACTCTAGGTGATCAAATCATTAAAAGGTGTGAACGTTTTAGATATCTCGGGTCTATTGCTCAAAGTGACGATGATATAGATGGGAATGTTATTAGTAGAATTCAAGTTGGTTGGTTGAAGTGGAGGAATGCGTCGGTCCTATTGTGTGATAGAAACCTATTGCTAAGGCTTAAAGGAAAATTTTATAAAATGGTAGTGAGACCGTCAATGCATTATGGCACAGACTATTGGCCTTTAAAAGAGAAGCATAAAACTAAATTAAGTGTTGTTGAGATGAGAATGCTTAGGTGGATGAGTGGCTTGACACTTAGAGACAAATTGTGAAACGAATGTATCCCTGAAAGGGTTGGTGTAGCTCCAATGGCAGACAAGGTTAATGAGAGAGTCGTCTTAGATGGTTTGGTCACATTAAACGTAGACCATCTCATGATCCAATTAGGAGAGTAGATATTTTAGATTCGACTTATATTAAAAAAGGTAGAGAAAGACCTAAAAAGACTTTGTCTTACTATATAAAAATGATCTTGATTTATTTGAATTAAATGAAAATATGGCACTCAATAGGACGCAATGGAGAAAAAGGCTTCATGTAGTCGACCCCAGCCGACCCCACCAGTAGGATAAAGATCAGTTGTTGTTTTTGTTGTTCCTTTTTTTTTTTTTCCACTGGATTGCTGTTACTTTCCTCCTTTTTTTGCGATTTCTTTTCCTTCTTTTTTTCTGCTTTTATGATTACTAGAAAACTTTCCAATTTTGCAAATTCATTAATTTTATTAGGTTTATAGTTGTTTTTGGTCAGATTTGCTATCCCTTTGTATGACTGATTTTGTTTGCTACTTCCATATTTGTGCTGTTTCCCTTCTATTTCATCTGTATGAGATAGATATTCCATTTTGCTGCAAACAAGGTGTAATAGATTTTAGTTCAGTTTAAATGCAGAATTCATATATTTCCGTTTCTGCATATTCTGCGTCTCTCTTTTCTTTTAACTTTCAGTTGCCGACATCATGTGTGGTAGTCTCATTAGAACATCGTTTTCTGCCTTCACAGATATCAGCTGCATGAATGCTATCAGTCTAACTCATCCAGTACATCCTTTACTCGCTGTTCTCCCCTTATGATTCCTTTCTTTTGGGTATCAATTTCTTGCTTATTGTACAAAATATATTCTCTGTAGGTCAAAGCTGAAACAGCATCATTAGATGCTACAAAGTTAAGTATATTTTCTGTTAAATTTGAAACCAGATTTATCTTTTTCTTACCTCATTGTTTTTTAATCTTGAAATGATTATCACAGGAATGAACTCTTAACGGCTTTGGACTTGAGACTCGCAGCATTAAAGGAAGAGTTAATTGTCGCTTTCAATAGTGCTGCTAGTGCCACCTGCTTTGGCAACCAAATTTTTGATTTGGCATCATTTGCTCAACATTTTGGGGCAACAGAATTAAGGTAATAGTTTTGGTTTTGCTGCTGATCTTTAAAGTCATATCTGCAGTTCCGTATTTCCAGAATGTGTGGTACCTTTATTGATAAAGTTTGCTATACTTTCTCCCAATCTGGAAGTCAAGACTAGCAATTAAAGTTGATGTGTTAATTGATTCATGTGATCGACATATCTTGCATCATTTCTTTACTACGAGCCAAATTTTTAAAGGAAAGTACATGTTTTCTGCTGACATTGTTCAGGAAGTCATTGTTGAAGTTCTTGGAACTGTGTCCAAATATCCATGCTATTGACTCCTTAATGCATCGTCAGACTTGAATGATTCAGTAAATATCAACCGAATGGAGACAAAAAGTTTTTCACTAAAAGAAAAAACTGATGTAGTTAAAGCTGCAACAGCCAATGTTTTTCCTGCCAAGGTTGTTCAAGCTGAGCAAGAGAGCTCATCTGAAATTGCGGATTCCTCAGATTCAAGTGATGGAGATAACCCCTCAGCTGAAAGAAGTCGACTTGTTGTAAGATCTGCAGCACCTAGAAGATCTGCATCCCCAATGCGACGCATTCAGATAGGTAGAGCTGGTTCTCGGAGATCCCTTGCACTTACAATTAAGAGCCTTAATTACTTTCAATCATTAGAAAGAGCTATATCTAATCGAGATGCTGATGCAAGGGAGAAGGGGGAGGAAGAACTGGAACATCTCCCAAAGAAGCCTGAAAATAATGGGAGGATGAGCGTTAAGGATGCTATCAATCTTTTTGAGAGCAAACAGACGGTTCAAAATTCAGATTCTCAAAAAAGGAAAACTTCAGAGGTATCAATTAGTGCAAACAAATCTGTTTTAAGAAGATGGAGTTCCGGAATGGGTGATTCCTGTAATTATTCAACAAAGGAAAATCCATTAGATTCTTCTTATGAAATTGCTCTAGGCAAACTGGATCCCGAAAGAGAAGACAAGAAGGAAAATGATTTGAAGGATGTTCCTTCAAATCCAGAATTTGCTCCCATATGTATGGCTGCAGAAATTGTCGGGACTGTACCACTTCAAGGTACCATTCCTACTGAAACTGTTCTTTCAACAGAAGGTGTGGATAGCAAAGACCAATCATCAGCAGCTGATTGGAATCGTCAAAAAGAGGCAGAATTGAATGACATGCGTAAGAAAATGATGATAGGTAACAATCCTACAAAATACAGTACTGTAGAAGTTAGTAAGGATGAGGATGTGTTGAAAGATACATCTCTTGATCAAAGAGGGGGATTTTACAGTCAATATAGTGAGAGAAGGAACCGGAAACTTCGATCTGAGAATGCCAGGAACCATGGGAAGGAAGAACAATTTAAGTTGACACATGTGAAACCCGGTAAAAACAAAGCAGCAATGGCATCCAGAGTCAGTGGTTCTGCTTTAAAACGTGAATCCACAACTCTGTCTGGAAAACCAAGAAAAATTTCTTCTCCACCCGTTTTATCAAAGAAAGAAATTTTTAAGCCAACCAACAAAAACAAAGTTTCTTCTAAATCATCATCGTCTCTGCAAACGAGGAGCTCTTTCCCTCTTGGATCTTCGGAAAAAGTGGTTGATACATTGCCAGCTAAAAGCCCTCCTACGGTTTCAACTGGCAGTATTTCAAGCCGCCAAAAATCCCAGTCTTCGATTTCTCCAGCTCTGCCTAGCCCCAGGATTAAGAATTCTCAACATATGGAAAACTATAACAGTGCCACTAGCGTCCAAGCTAGCATTAAGCCAAGTTTGTTTGGAAAGGAACATAAAATAGTGAAACTAGTGAAAAAGAATAGCACAGATGTGAAATCTAGAAATCCATTTTCTCGTGAAGATTGTGGCACATTTCCATCCAAATCAACTGTTCAGGGAAAGTATACGAGGAAAAGCAGTGTAGTACCACTGGAATCAAAACTCTTCTTGAGAAAAGGTTCTGGAATCATTCCAGTCAATGGACCTTTAGCTGCTAAAACAAAGGATGCTAGAGTTTCAAAGCCTTCTGATTCCTTAAAAAATATTGAAAATATTGTTCTACCTGATGAACAGGAGTTCAATCATTCACAAGTGAACTCAACAATCAAGGTAATTGAGGATCTTGTCCAACCAACAAATGTTGTAGATAAAACTTTAGCTGCTCCACATGATAATGAAAGTGATAATATTGAAACCATGGACAGTGTTGATGGGAGTTTGACAATAGTAGACACTGATAGCTGGAGCCTGGTAGAGTTTACCATTACTGAGAATCATAAAGATAACGATCTGGGCATCTCATCTGCTGCACGGGCAGAGGCAGAAAATGAGGAATATTCCGTGTCATCTAATAATAAGCAGCATCATGTTGTTTCTCCTATAATCGCACCAGTATCATCATCAAGTCCACTGGTGCGTCACTCATTGTCACAAATGCTTCAGGCTGACAATAGTGGACGAGAGATAAGTGAGTGGGGAAATGCTGAGAATCCTCCTTCTTTAGTCTATCAAAAAGATGCCCCTAAAGGGTTGAAAAGACTGCTAATGTTTGCTCGTAAGAGTAAGGGAGAGGATAATTTGAGCCCTTCAGTTTTCTCTGAAGGAGAGGAAGAGGATGAAGAATCTAAAGCACCCATTAGGAGTTCAGATGCTCCACTGCAGAAACCTTCATTTCAAGCCCAGGGTTATGGACAGCCAAAAGGCCTAGTCAGTGAAAGCCTAGATTTGGGGAGGTCTATCAAAAAGGCCATGGAGCATAAGGGTGTCCAAGACGACTTATCAGGTAAATCTCAAGGGTTTGAAACTGTTAAAAATACCGAACCTTAATCTTCTGTGCAAAATAAAAAAGAAATGAACCTGAAAAATCAAAATCTATTTTAAAATTGAATAGAACGACCCCAAGTTTGAGTTTGCATGGGCTAATGATCCTTTCTCCCATTGGTGCATCCATTCTGTAGATTTGCCTTGTTGGTTACCCATTTCCTGATTGGTATGCTTACTCAAAATTTGATGGTTCAGAAGCATCATTACTTGCATCAAAATTTGAATGTTTTTGACAATTAAAGAGTCTTTGTTTCCTGTGTGTTTTTCTTTATGTAATCTTACTTGTTCTGTTAACTGATTCTAAAGCTTGTTTAGCTGGTTCTGCAGGTTCTGAAAAGCTTCGAAACGCCCATTTTTCAACTGGAGTTGCAGCTAGTAAAGGTCAGCTTGTAAACTGGAAGCTTTAATTCCACCATTTTCCAAAGTTCAATCTTAATTTCTCTATCTTGTCATACAGCAACACGGTCGTTCTTCTCACTGTCATCATTTAGGAGCGGTAAATCAAGCGAGACAAATCCTCGATAAACTTCAAACCTTTTAAAGCTCATTGTGGGAACTGACCAACCGATGCTTTACTACAAGTTTAGAGCATTACTACAGATCTACTACTTTAGTAGACTTTGCCAACCTCTGTAATTAGTAAGAACTTTTCTTGCTTGGTTTTGTGATTCTGAGTGTAAATGTAATATCACAAATATATATTAACTTGAACTTGTGATAAGTCACTGGTTTAATTTCCTTGAGAGGGTCCATGCTTCTATTGTAATTAGAAATTCAATGAATTTGGCCTTTGCTTTGTTTTCATCAATTTTATTATTGTTTCTGTCAGTAGCTTGTGCGGTAGAAGAATTTGATATCAACTTGGAACAAAATCCTGTTACTCGAGGTATGAATTTCATATATTTTTTTAGAATGCTTTTTATTTGTTGATAAATTAGCCCATTGTCTTTATTTTCAAGTATGTATTCTCAGTTTTGCTGCCTATCTGTTCAAGGATATTACAATATTATTAGATCTCAGAAACTCTTATGTGCTATAATTAATCCGCTGTGTCAAATCACAGCTTCTTCCCTAAATAGTTGTGCACAAAGTTATCCATCATCCTCAAATTTATAAATTTGGTCAAAAGTGCATCTTTGACGTCCACTTACCGATAGTTATGTGGCTGTGCTCTTCTTTAATATTGAAATTTCTTGCTTCAACATTTTTAGCGTGGATGTTTCTTCGTTAGCCACGATGATTCCTCTTGTTTTCTCTCCTTTGTTTTTTTAGAAGATATGTGAGCGATTTTGTCGTGAATTATGTGGCAAGTGCTTATGATGAAAAAAATATATATTAATATAAGGTGAAGTTATGGGTTACTATAGTAATATATTTAACATTATTTCATGATGCATAATTGAAAACAATTTTATAAGTGCATTGATTTGGGTGGGTATGAGTAATGCTTTCAATACACGTTTCTTTGTTAAATCTAAAAGCTTTGATTTATTTCCATAAACATTTATCACTTATTAAATATAATTTAAATGGCACAATAAATTAATATTTTTTTTACTATGTTCAGTAAAAAAATATCATAAAATGTAAATCATATGTGAACTTGAAAAAATCATTTAAATGACTTAACATTTTCTTTTAGCAATGTTAGTTTCTTAAACTTATTTCATTTTACCATTTTAAGCAATTGTTTTTATTAAAAAAATAAAAAAAAAATTTTAGCATCAAATAAAAAGATTTATAAGTAAATAAAAGATAAATAAATAGTAATTGATTAATTATAGTAGGCATCATTTAATATGAGAAAGTGTTTAAAAATTAAAATAGTAAAAATAAAATATGCTTGATATAATACTACTGCATGAAAACTAGCAATCAAGTATTAATAAATTATATTTCAAAAAATCTCTCTTAAATAGCACTACAAGGATAAAATAGATATCAAGCTTTTAAAATATGTTTCAATAAAAAAAAAATGTTTAAGGTTATTGCTAGAATGTTACTCCTCCAAAAATAAAAACAATCATGTTTAAGGTTATTGCTCGAATGTTACTCCAAAAATTTCATCCTCAAAGATATTTTTCTTAAAGTTTGCCTCCCCAAAAGCATTTAAATCCACTTAATTACTTCATCTTTATTGATAAAAAAATTCACTCGTATTCATAAATAAATTTTATAGAATAATATTTTTCATCAAAATGATCAATTAAATTTAATTAAAAAATAAAAAATTTACTGTTTGTCTATTATTTTCTGTATTTGACTATTTAGTAATGAGAATTGCATCATCTTTATAAATGTTATTTTTCAGATCATCTTAGTTAAGTTCAGGAGTACACTCATCTTCAATCCAAAAATTTATGGCTTTAATATTTGTGTAATCCAATGGATTGTAATTTCTCTTTTTGAAATTCAACTTATATATTGGTATCATAAATTTGATTCACACTTAAAGGCAATATCACACAAATAAAAAAATAAAAAAATTTAGCAAGAATGCATATGCTTCACATTAAGATTGTATCAAACATATACAAAATCATGCAGACTTTGTTGCTCTAAATGATTTCTTTGTTTTGTATGGATTTGCTACAAAACACTCCAGTTTGTTTCACATCTAGATGAAGAATATGTTTTGCTAAGAATACTAATAGTTAATGTTTGTAAATTTAGAGCACGAGAACCAAACATCTTCCACCATTCTTCTGTTAAATATTAGCTATTAACTTTAAGAAGATGCATAAAAAAATAAATTTTACTAATCACTAATAATATTTGAGAACTTATCTTGTTGCATTTCCTTTTCCATATATAGAGCAATTGGCTTTTTTTATATTTCCAATTTATTGCGAAAAAGTCTTACTTCATTCATTGCATATGTAGGCTTCTCACATACATTCTTGTTTCCAATAATTTCAACTAAACCTTGCATCACTTCAAGTTTCTGGCAATAATTCTCATAATCATATTGTAAGTGTGAATTCAAAAAATATGTAGCAGAATGAATTCCTTGAGGAAGCTGGTCATTTAATCTACTCTTACTCGTGATTGTTTATGGCTTGTGTAACATCTATATGTTTTTTAATATGTTTTTAATTGCTTCTATGGCTCTCTAAATTCCATCATTAACATACTCAAGTGATAGCTTCTCATCCGTAATACTGTGATAAGTGGCGCAAATATTTTCACCATAGTTGGACAATCATTTCAAAACTTGTTATACAGCATAATAGACCATGCATCTTTTGCTTGAGTTGTTTTTGCCAATTTTGATTTTGTATAGTACTTGCTAGTAGCAAGTGGCTAGTGCCTGTAAATCATATTTATATTCATAAACACTTTTCAATGTAATGAAAGTGATTGTAAAGCGAGTTGCTCCAAGACAATCAACTTCTATCCAACCTGGCCTCTTTTTCAATCAAGATAATATAAAGACATGATTATAAATAAATATTGTTACCTTCGATGCGCATTTAGCAAGCTCCAACGTATGAGACATACAACCAATATCCTTTAAGATTAAATTCAAGCAATGTGCAACATAAGAAGATAAAAAAATGTTATCATACTTTTTATGAAATAAATCTTCTACTTTTTCATAGTTTATTGCATTATCAGTCATAAGCTGAATAATATTTTTCGAACCCACTCACGTAACAACTTCAAAAAATAAAGAACTTGGAATGGTTGCATCTTTCGTGATATCAGAAGCATTGATAGATTTTAAAAAACATATACCTCTGCGACAATAAAGTTAAAAAAAATTATCAATGTTCTATTCCTTGTATATGTCCATCTATCACCCATCAATGCACATTCAGTTCCCTTCCAACAAAGCCTAAAAGAAATAATGAGTAGCTTACATTCTTTCTTACAATCTTCGTGCAAGTTAACTCTTACTTGATAGTATGAAGGCAATTGATAATCGGGACCAATTGCAACTATTGCATCAATATATTTTTCAGCAAAATGTGAATTTAAAGTATTGAATGGAATAAAACTATCAAAAAAGCATCGAGCAAGTGTCATATCAGCCCTTCGTACATTCTCTTTAGATGTCAACACGCTTTTTAGGGATGGTTACGAGCCAATCTTAATTTTAGGAGTAAAATAATTGCCAATCTCATCCAATCTTTTTTTTCCTTTGTCTAACATTTTATCATAAACAATTGAATATTGTGATTTACAGAGGCGGGCCAGAAAGGGTCCAGGGGCCAATTGACCCCATTCAAATTCAAATTTTAACTTATATTTAATATATATATATATATAATCCTTAAATTCTGCCGACAGTTAGAATAGTTAGGTAATTCAAAAGATATCTTCGTAGAATTTAAAGACCTTGCTTGCGCAATTTTGAATTAGGCCGGTTTTCTAAATCTTGCTTAACCACTTATGATTAGAACATCAAAGGCCTACTTAGAATAATAGTATGTCTCGCCGGAATCCTAG